CTATTAGAAGGCAAGGATCTGTGACAGGTCACTGTCTTGATCACACTAATACTGCACATCAGCATATCCTCTCCCACTGAAATTGGGAAGCAATTCCCATGCATATTTCTGGGACTGCCTGACCTGTTACTTTGAAGTTTACTCCTTAGTAACATCAAGGAAGACACTGCTAGAGGTGAATGGCTTTCTGTGTGCTACACCTCGCTGGCTTTGTGCATGTGAATATGGCTCCTTCCCTAAAGAAATCTGCATGGAGGTATAAACACTTCCGTGACACTCACTAGAAAGGTCTTAACACATCACAGATGCCTTTCAAGGAGCCCACCAGCACACAGAGCTTATGTTATGCCAGCAAAAGTCAGGCTGAATCTAGTTTCCAGTGTGTAGAGTATAAGGTAAGCCTTTGGAAAGGAGAAAAACCTGCTGCTTTAAGGCCAAGAGCTATCTCTTAGATCTGCATTCCAGGGCTACCTGCCCCGTGTTGAATGATGTCAAACTATCCAGTTCAAGCCATGGTTTGCTCTAAGCTTTTACTGAGAGGTAGAATCATGTTTGTGACATGCCTTACACACAGCTTAGTGTCTGTGCTTTTAAAGAACTGCAGGCTCTCTGTAGTCTCGCACATCTTGCTTCATAGCCACCCTTTTGAACCTGCTGCTTCCAGCTGCCATCATCATTTGATGGCTTTTCTGCTTTTCTTTTGTATCTCTGAGATTCCTAAGAATAATTATACTAGGTCAGACAAAAACTTTGCTTCACTTGATACCCTACCTGATTGACTAGCAAGAAGCAAGTATACAGTGATACTTCCCTGTGGATGTTCTTCCTCCTTCTAGCTGTCTTAAAGCCTTTCTGTGTGAATGGTTCTGCCTGCCTACCTGTGTGTGTTGGCTTTTTTTTTTTCCTTTGGTTAACTTGTCTAACTTCTAATCCTCTTGTGACAGCAAGCTCCTCAGTCTGAGCACGTAGCAAACAGCACCCTTTCATTTTCTTGGGCTTAAAGAATAGATTACACAAATACTACTTATTGAGGTGTCACTGCTTCTACGAGCCTTTCCTGACACTTCCCAATGTGTATCTGTTGATCTTGCCTTCAAAGCTGGGACAAAGACCTATTCCTTGATCTTGTTTATTCATTTCTCCCGCTCCTTTTAAGGTTGTTTCACTCTGCTGGTCAGGTTAAAGCCCTGATTAAAAAAAGATATTTGATTTTGTGATATTGTAAGGTATGTACAATTTGCAAGGCACAAGCTTTGTGCCTCATGGCAAAATGTCTTTGCTAAAGTCTATTACAATTGCATGTTCTTGTTGCCAAATGACCTGGAAGGTTGCATCTTTTGATAATTCATTTCCCTCTGTTGGGAAATGCTGCTGATTTCTCTGGCAGTGCCAGGTGAGTGGAACTGAGCTGGTTGGGTAAATACTGAGCGCTCCTCATGGGATGTAGAGTCTGGGTGGCTGAATGTTTTGTTTTGCCAAAGCCAGGAGGAAGGACACGGCTGGTACTTGCATTGCAAATTGGTGGCATTTGGCTTTCTTTGCCAGCAGGGATGTGTTTTTCTCTTTAGCTCACCATTAACTGGTATTGCCCTACCCCTTCCTACATCCTGTCACCTGCCAGTGCTTCCCAGGGAGCCAGGAGCTGGTTACCTGCAGAGGCTCTCATCCAAACAAGCATGTAAGCACATGCTGGAATCTCGTTGATGTCAGTGAGACTTGAGCATGTTATTAAAGTTAATCACACACTCAGGGGGTTTGCTGAAGTGTGGCTGAGATGCATGCATTGTCTGCCAGATGTGCTCGTGGGAGGCTTGGAAGTGTCCCTGGTGTTGTCACATTTACAAGCTCCTACCAGGCTGGACATGTGTAATGCATCCTCCTGTGTTTGAGGGGGAGGCACTGCTGGGACAAGGGATGTGAAGTAGCCAGCCACTGCCTAAATGTAGCCATATCCATGCCAGAGCTGGGCAGCAGTGCTGAAAGCAGGACTGTCAGGGACATAATTCCTGTACCTTCACAGCTTTCCTTGCTCTCTCACCTTCTGATGGGCAAAATGTGTGTGACCTTTGTTGCTTTTGAAATCTTGCTTATTTTGTGAAAAATTACTACTGTATTTTAATACTCCTTGTGCTTGGAATTGGTTAATAGGCCTTTTGTCTTATACACTTGCTTCGTACCTTCACCTTAATATGCATAGTAAACTGTGCAAGCAGGATATGGAGCTGAAACCCAGATAGAATATTCATTAAATTTTTCACCTACTGCTTTTTTTTAAATGGTAGTGTGTTTGAGATCAGAGTCGAGCCATAGGTTTATACTATAGTATTGTTGCTTTTTTCTCAAGGAAGGAAGGATACCAAGAGGATGTAAGGTTTAAAAAATTTTTTACAATTTTCTTTTAGTGTGTTATGATATATGTGCAAGCTTTTCTTTCTGAGAGTTTCTGAAAAGACTTCCCAACAGTGTTTGGCATTGCTGCAGAACAAAATCCCAAGTAGTCTGTGTTCAAATAGTAATATTTGAGTTTTTTCAGCTAGTGGCTTGCTAGTGAATAGTTAAATTGATGATAAAGTATCAGGGCCCTCTGTAGGTTCATGGTTTCCATCATTTGTGGAAAGCAGACGTCAGAAGCTGCAGTGCCAGGAAGTGGATTCCTTCAGAGACCTTCTGGGAGCTCCTGACTTAATCCACTCCAGAAATTCCGCTCTGTGCTATCAAAGCCTGGCATTAGATTTCCCTTAAGTACTTGGGGTGTTTCTCTTCTTTCCCAACAAAATCCCACAGTGCTGGCTCCTGAGCTAGTACTAACTTATGTGGAGAAATAGTAACTTTCATGCTTCTCATGTGTGAAATTGAAGAGAAATTAGCAAAGAAATAGGTGGAAGAAGGAAAACTTGCTGTAAGTGGGAGAGCAAGCATTCTGTTCTGCATGGCTACTCATTCACAGATCTTTCAGGAAGAAATTTTTTTAAATATTGATCACATTGTGGATTGTCATTCATTTTGGAATATGTTTTAATGCTATAATTAAATGCTGAGAAAGGCCTGAAGTAAATGGAGCACTTGAATAGCTTTACTTCTGTAAATAGGGCACTGGTACAGAAGCTGTCCAAAATCTCAGGTCGATTCACCATCTTGTCCATTTCTTGCCTGCATGCAATATTTGTGTTGTGTGAAGTGTCTGAGATCACATTCACTGTTGGATCTGCCTTAGACAAGACAATGCCAAAAGCCAAGTGGATGAGTTCTGCTGCTTCCTGGGAATACAAGTGTCTTGTGCCATTCCTGTTTCAGGGAGGTAGCTGTCAGCATGAGTGGAAGATAAATGTTGGCAGCATGGCTATGATACCGTGACTGTGGTTGAAACAGGCTTCGTAGGTGGAGATGATCCCTTCTGGTCACTATTGCTGTTACCTTAAAAGTCAATTAAACCTTGTGATTTGTAGTCCATGGACTAAGATAAGCTTCCAGCTACTCATTGTTCATGCATTATCCACAGTAGTTGCTTAAAAATAATGCAAGCTCACCTTCTTTTGAGGCTTTGATAGAGCTACATCTGTCCATAGGTTGCCTTACTCAAATAGAAATCCCCGAGTTTGATGCCATCACAGTGTGTGGGAGAAGAGAACAAGGCAGGTTCAGCAGCCATGGCTTCAGTCTGGGACATTTTCTGGGTTGTCTGGGACAGATTTCCTACTGCTGGTTTCATAGTGTTGACTTCAAACAACCCCAGGTAGTTCAGTTTAGAAGGTAGAGAACTGGTGCTGGGCTCCCACACAACCAGGAAAGAGGGGTGCTTTAATGTTCCTGGGCTCAGTTGGGGACTCTTCTGAGACTAAGAAGATGGCAAACATGAGGATTTGTGAATGCTTCTTTCTTCTTAAAGTTGAGGTATTAGATTTAAGTCTGCCCATGGGAGCATCTCTGTCTATTCAGGATTTACCCTCCCCTCAAAGTAAGCCCTGAGAAGAGGAGAGTGAGAAAAGATGGGAAAAAGCATCCTCCATCTTTTGTGTTGTAACGAGAACATGAGGAGTAAAGAGTGTGTTATTTGTGGCCAGGAAGAGTGCAGCCAAGAGGAAGCTTCGTTTTGTTGCCTGGCAATTAGCACAGACACTTGAAAAAAGAAAACCTGCCTTCCCATCCTGTTCTTTTTTATCCAATTACTGCAGAATGTAAAATTAATAAATTCTCTTGGGAGGAGAGACCAGATTTGGGTCTTTCTTCTTTGAACTACCTGTCCTACCTGCTGGGGAAGAGTGAAAGTTGTGAATCTGCTTTCTCCTAGGGTAGAGTTGAGTTTAGCATCCTCCTTGCTTTATGTGACTGCTTTACAGTGTGGACTTGTTGCAAAGGGTGGGTGCTGCTGCTGTTTCCACTTGTTCTTCCTCCCATTTTGTGTGGTGATCCCAGTGCTGCTTTGATGGGTTAGATGTGCTGAGAGCAGAGCTGCCTGGTCAGGGACACCCTAGAGCCCATTTGTGTCTGTCCTGGATTTGACTGCAGCATAGTTCAGCTGGGAAGGGGCAGGACACAGCTGCCATGGGTGTCCCAGCATGGGCATGGAGCACTCAGTACTGAATGCACACTGAAATCTGCAACAGGGCCATTCGTGTAATGGTTAAGGAGATACATTTTGTGTAAATCTTAGCTGGTGGCTTTAGGTTCTTTGACAGTGGCTGGAGAGATGTCATCCTCTGGCTTCTCCTGGGATGGGAGTGCCTGTCTGTCTTGCATAACAGATCATTTTTTCAAACTAGCCACAACTGACACAGTTACATTAGGCAGGAAGGACTTCTTGCCACTGGCTGAAACAAAGATGTCACTGGAGACAAAGGATGTCAAGTCTCAGAGTCAGTTGCCCCTCAACAGAGCTGCCTGTGGATCTGTTAATGAGCATCCCCAAGTATTTCCTGGCAGTCATTCCTAGCACACAGCAGTGGTGTTGGCTGTCAAGTGTGACCTCATTAACATAAGGGTTTGCTCTACTTTCATTTCAGGTTGTCAGAGCTGCTGAAGAAGCTGCTTCCACCCTGGCGAGTTCCATCCACCCCGAGCAGTGCATCAAGGTGCTTTGCCCCATCATTCAGACTGCAGATTATCCAATTAACTTAGCTGCCATCAAAATGCAAACAAAAGTCATCGAGAGGATTTCCAAGGAATCGTTGCATCAGCTCCTACCTGATATCATTCCTGGGTTGTTACAGGTACAGAATCCCATGTTACTGCTCCTGAGCACAAGCCACCATTAGTTTATCCGTGCCCTGAGGAAGGGAGGACTGATAGATCCTTTGGGGCCAGATTTTGGTAAATTAAGCCATTTAGTTTTTGGTAAAAGAAAATTTTTATATATGAGTTTTTGATCCTTTTAGTGTTAAGGAAATGAAGACTCAGGTTCTTACATGGATGTTCCACAATTGGATGCCTTTTTCTGACTCCCAAATAAGCCAGTAGCAGCCATGCAATAAATTTGAGGGTAGGAGTTAGCCACATTTTACACTGTCTCTGTACATCTTGTAGTCCCCTTTAATTCCCCTTTAATTCTGCTGAGCTGTTCTGTGCTTTGATGGTACTTTGCACTTGAATTTGAATCCCAGCAGGCAGGTTGCTCCTTTCCTCTTTTCTCTCTGAAATTAGGACCAAACTACTTGCTGACTTCATTCAGCCTCTTTCATAACCCTCTCGGGCTGGGTGGGGAGCTGTGTTTTTGCCAGTGCTAAGGCTTGGTTGTACACTGTGGATTTAGCTTTGAGTGCTGGCTGTAGCAGTGTTGTCTTTTGGTCCCCTGCACAAGCAGCTGCAAACAAGAAGGAAATACATGAAGTAGCAGTGAGGGAGGAGAGAAAATACGTATGTTTACTGGGGAGACACTGACAAGAACAGATCAGTTAAAGGGGGAGATGTGTTTGGGTGGCTAAGACTTCCATGGAGAACTGGAATAAAGAGGCCTCCTCATTGTGAGCATAAAATGTTGGAAGGACATGAGCAAAGTCAGAAATTCCCCTTATGCATTCTGGCATTCATTCCAACTTTGTAGCGTCAGCTCTTGCAATTCTTAAATCTCAGCTTCTGGGAATTGGACAATTCTGTATTCATCTAAACTTTTGTTGTAAAATGGTTTTAGCCATCATTGTTGGAGACAACAATCTGAGCAGCAAAGCTTTGATGCACTGGAAAAGTCTGAGAGCAGTATGCCTTTAAACAGGCAGTTTTATTTGTCTTCTTTAATTACTTTAAATGGTTCTTGTTTCAGAGCCTAGTTTGCCTGAGATATTTCCTTACCTTAGAATGATCTAAGGAATTTACTCCTTACATTTGGGAAGTATTTTGGGATCCTGTCTGAAGGACTGTGTGTGGGGAGAATCACCTTTGTGCTTGTTCACCACATGGAGGGTCCTGGCAGAGTGGTAAGGAGGCGAAGTGTGTCAGCAGCAGTGTGGGCACAAGTGTGCAACTCAACAGCCTGGAGCAGGCTCTCCATGAACAGATGGGAACTCCATGGAAGAGCAGGGCTTGGCAGGGGAGACTTGTGGTGCTTGCCCTGGTCCTGATGAGGAGGCTTCGAGCTCACCTGCTTTCCTAGCTCAGTGTTTTGTGGGATTTCTGTCATTTTTGGCTATGCAGCTGGAACAGCCCCAGCTGTGCTGCATCCCTCCTCTGGCTTTCCCGGCAGAGGTCACCCTGCATCCGGAGGGGCCAGCATCCCTCAGGCTGAAGTTATGTCTGCCTTTCTCATGGGCTGGGATGGCTGCTGAGTGATGCATTTCTGCATCCGTTTGGGACTGGTGTCCATAGCTGCTGAGTGACCTGCTGGCTACTTTGAGCTCTGGCCAAGCTGCTGGAGATCAGCACATGTTCAGGGGGCTTTCAGCATGTTCTTTCCTGTGGTATTTCCTACTCGATAGGTAAGCTGCCCTCCAAAGAGTCCTGACTGGTCAGGATAGTTCGTGGTCATCTGAACTGCACAGAGAAGTGTGTGTGTATCTGATGGAGTCCTAAGTTCATGTTAAGAAACCGTGTGTTGTTATCTAATGCTATAAATAACTAGATATTAATAGCTTACAATATGATAGTAATAAGTAATAACAAAAGGAACAGATAGGGTGATTGCATTCTCTTGCTCTTGGAGTATTCAGGTTGCAAACTGTTATGTTAAGCAAGGGGATTTTTTTATTGATCTCTTAGGTCAGCTGCATTTGGAAAATGTGCATCAGCTCTGTATTGCTCAGGAAGGGTGTTGGGGAGTGCTGTTTGTCTTCTGACCTTCTCCTCTCATTTCCAGGGTTATGATAACACAGAGAGCAGTGTCCGAAAAGCCAGTGTATTTTGCCTAGTGGCTATTTATTCAGTAATTGGAGAAGAACTGAAACCTCATCTCGCACAACTCACAGGAAGCAAGGTACAAGAGTAATGTGTCTCTGGTGTTTTTGGAATGCAAGCCATTCTGCTGGCTATTACTAGCAGCAAGACCAGTGGCTTCAGTGTAGCTCTGGGTCAAGTTCCCTGAAGTGTATTAAATCCTGTCTCACCCTGACAAATGCCAGTGAAGCAGCACCACACTTTGTCAGCAGTGTGAGCATTTGAAATCCCACTTAGAAAATTTTAATGGTGTTTGAAGATTGGTTTCATGATACATTTGATGTTGTATAACTGCAAGCTGCCTCTGAGCAGGTCCTTTTCCAGCCAGGTTACATCCAGAGGTGATTGTGCAGTGAGCTGGCTCAGCTGGCTGCTCTGGCTGAAAACCAGATCTGCAATACAAATTAAATAGCTTTTAGTCTGCTCTGTGGCCACACAGGCATCCTCATGCAGAGAGTGGTGGGAATACGTGGAGATGGTGGGAGAGCAGGTCCTCTCAGCAGCAAATTGTGATTAGGGCTGGTAGCAATGCAGGTAAAACTTCACTCAATAGCAGGGCACATGTGTTCCTTTCCTTCATTTAAGCAAGCTTAAATCACCCTTCAAAAGACTTTGTACCCTGAGGTCAGACTAGCTGCAAAACTCAAATTCTGACCTGATGCTGCAAGTGAAACCAAGCCCTTAATTCAACTCAGTCCTTCAGATAAGAATTTCATGTGTTTGATTGCTTTTCAGAGCTGCATAACGAGCCACCACAATTTTTTCTGCTATTTTAAGTCTTCATACCCAAGATTTCTATGCAAGAAATTTTAAGTTTAATTCTGCAGTTCTTGTTTCTAAATAGATCTGTGCATATGAATAGCTACTTAGTTCAGAGGGCTTCATTCTGTCATTTTGAAGTCTGTAATTTCTTTCTTGGGTAAGGAAGTGTGGTATAGGCCAAAACAACCTGAGACTAAACACTTTATTTCTGTCTTGTCTTGTCACTTAACAAATTACAATTGTGCCTCCAAATTGCTCTGCAAAGAGACAGCTATGTGTGCTGAGGTTTACCTCTTTATATTTGGGATGTTAGGAAATTCCCCTATAAAATGTTGTAGAGGCTTTACTATTCCAGTCTCCTCAGTGCCACAAACATAGTCCACCACATCACTAATTATAAACATGTAAGTAATTCTTCTGGGTTTATGCAGACTGCCTGTTCAAAGTTAAATGTAAACATAAGTCACTAGAGGATCTGGAGTTAAGGTGGCAAGAAGGAAAAAAAAAGCAAATCCATGCAAGGGAAGTAGTCATAACAATTGCAGTTGCACTAGATGTACCGTGTTAGTGAAGATGTGATGTCATTGAAAAACAACATTTTATAAAACAGGGAAAGTTCAGTGTGTTTCCTAGGAGGGGGACCCATGGCTCTTGGATCACCAGTGTGCCTGCAGCCCTACTGACCCCTGTGGGAATCCTGCTTGACCTTTCCTGGCTGCAAGGATTGAGGTCTATGAACTACTGGCTGCTGAAGTGAAATGCAAGAGGCTTTTCTAAATACCATTAAGTCTGTCTGTAGCTTCAGTGGGACTGGGCATAACCCTTTGTCTCTGTTCTGAAATATGGACAGTTTTCTTGCTTTTCCTCCAGAGTGCCCAGTGTCAGCTCACCCCAAAATGAGCTCACCACAGAATGCGAGTTTTTTGACACTAGCAGTCAGCTTTTCCCTGCCTGTTTTTTTTCTGGTATCTTCTCCTGATATTTCTTTCTTTCTTTCAGATGAAGCTACTAAACTTGTATATCAAGAGGGCACAGACCACCAACAGCAACAGCAGCTCCTCTTCAGATGTTTCAACGCACAGTTAATGGAGATCTGTGGACAAATGTGTAGACTTAGAAGCAATCAACGGTGCCTCTCAGAGACCTTTCTGCTACTCTTCACTGGCGCGCTCCATCAGCTTAAGGAGGCCATGCAGATATTTATTGCAATCAGTATTTTAGTCCCTTAAAAGCTTTTATGTAGAATCTTACTGGTATTGAATGTAAAGGAAGCAAGGTCTGTGTCGCAGTCTTCATTAAAAGTGAACATCAGAAAGCCATACTTAAACATATTTGTATAGCCTGCTGAAATCTCAGAAATATGTTTAGGTTAGCATTCTAACACTGAGTCCAAGAACCTGGACACAGGTAAAAGTCAAACAAATCTTGTTGGTTTAGTTCATACCCAGTTTTGATTTCTGTGTGCTAGTTACCTGCCCTCTCCCTCCATCCATTCTGGCTGGGTTCTCCTCTTCTTTCAAGTCTTGTGTTCCTGTTTTGTACTCCCTGTCACAGCTTGCCTAACTTCCAGGGCTCTCCATGGGGAGGTCTTTGCAGGTGTGGCTGTGATTCCAGCCTCAGATGCTTTAATATTGAGAGATGCCAAGTGAGTAATGAAAACGTAGGTTCTTTTTAAACATCTGAGTTTTGTACATAGTTCTGACAGACTCCAGATGGGCTGATCTCTCTCTAACTGCTCTCCAGCCAGCTGTGCTGTCCATAAAAGCTGGGTTCTTGCTCTTTTCATTGACTTTGTAAATACTTCTCCCCTCTCAACCCATTTGGCTCTTTCATATGTTCAAAAGACTCTTCAGGTTACCTGTTACTCCCCAAAGGGAACCTGAGACCCATTTCTGGGACCGACGTCTGCAATTAGGATGGTGGAGTTAGGTGGGTGGGATTGGGTTAGGCTCTGAGTGCGTCAGTGGGTGGGCAGTGGGAGCTGGCAGAGCTGTACTTCAGTGCCAGCTGTTTTCCTTGAAATCTGTAGCATCAAAGGGCTGATCTGCTGCTCTGACTGACCCACTGATGCTGGATGGCTTTGTCCCCACAACTCCTTTTAACTTTGGTCAAAATGTTTATCCCAGAGGACAGAAAGGGTATCTGAATCTGAACAGAACTACCACATGGAAGCACCTCTGAGCCAGCTGAAACAGTGCTGGTTGCCTGCCACAGCCCCTCCTGTTCCTCAAGACCCTGTAGTGCTGTTACCTGCCTTTAGAAGCCTCCTTTGTGCTATCTCAATGCACAAGTCTGCTGAATGCTCTGCATTTTAGAAGAGTGGTGGTCCCTCACTGAGCACTGCTGACAGCAGGGTGCTCTGGGTGAGGGTGCAGCAGGGAAGGTCCTTTTGCAGCCTAATGACACAGACCAGGTCAGAGGCAAGCCAGCAGCAATCAAATACCCTATGGCACAGCCCCTCCCTGAACAGAGACCCTTCTTTTTCAAAGGGGGAGCTCCCCCTGGCTCTGCCTGTAACCACGGAAGGCAAGAGGTTGCTAATTAATTAACGTGCTATGTTTGGCCCTGGGCTGGATCCTGGCTGATGGGCATGCCTACCCCAAACCTGCCATGGATCACAGCTGAGGTTTTGCTCCCAGCACCAGTGATGCAAGAGGATGATGGACTTGCAGCTTATGGCTGCAGCTGTGGTGATGGATGTGTGCTCCCTGGCTGCTCCCAGTGCCCTGGAGTCTCTTCCACTTCCTCCATCTCCACTTTAGGGAGCTGAAGGAGCACCTTGGGAACATACTGAGAACATGAGACTCTTACTGAACACTGACTCTTACTAAAGCCCCTTCTCTCAATTATCCCTGAGGAGCTACGCTGGGACCTGGCACTTGAGGCCAGCTTTTCTCCCAATCCTCATCTCAGGAGGGATTTGGGCTGGTGGGGGACTGTGTGGCACTGGGCTGCAAAGCTTGTTGGTCCCTTTATCTGCTTCTGGTACCTAGGTGTGCAGGCTTTTGCTGGCTGCAGGGTTAGTTCCCTCATCTTTCCCAACCAGTAATGCTATGGCAGGAAAAACTGTGCTTTCCTGGGATGTGGGATTCCCCCAGAGTTTTTGTGCAGGCTCAGAAAAGCCATCCTCACTAAAGGGGGGGATTGGCTGCTCCAGGATTTGTGTCTGCCTTGCCGTGGACCATCTATTTTCCACATCTTTCTGTATGCTTCTTAGAATGCTCTTTTTAAATTTTTTTGAATGCTTCAAATTTGATTTTAACACGAATTTATTTTTCCTTTTGAGGAAATACTCAGTTGACTTGTTGGCAGCAGTTAAGCTGTCCTGTTTGAATTTTTAGTGGCAAGCTAGTTTTTTGGGGGGGCGTTGGTTTTTCGTTTTTTGTTTGTTTGGGTTTTTTGTTTTTTGTTTTGTTTGGTTGGTTTTGGGGTTTTTTTTAAGGGTTTTTGGGGGGTTTTTTGTTTGGTTTTTTTGTGTGGTTTTTTTTGGTTTGTTTGTCTTTTTGGGTTTTGTTTGTTTGTTTGTTTGTTGTTTTTTTTTTCCTTGTGTTCTGAATTGCTTAGTATTTATGCCTCTCTTCCTTCCCATCTCAGCTCAGCATCTTCTGTTCCAGTTCTGGGGTTCAGAAGGTCAGCATAGCTGACCAGGTGGTCTTAGTCTCTCCCAGCTGTGATGAAGCTTGGTCTAACTTCATTTGCTGTTTGTTAGTTTTGATTTTTTTTTTCTTTCCATTAAATGGCACACTGTAGCAAATCTCCAGGAATTGAATTCCTTCTCAAATGATTTTATACGTTTTATAAAATCCTGTTGGTATGCACTGAGAGTGAACGCACTGTACCGTCCCTGACACCTCAGTCAGGTCCTTGACAAGGCGCCTGCGGCCAGGCTGCGCTTCCCGAGGCCGTGCCACACCCGGGGCTGCCGAGGGCAGCATCAGGCCTTACTTCCTGAATCAGATTCAGTTCTGTTTGTCAACAGATGCTCATTAATGTGCTACTTAATTTCATGGCGTGAGTCGAGAACTGTCCATCCTTTGAGTACTCTAGGGTGTGTTCTACCTGTACACAGTAGGAGCATTCTGCTTAGGTATTTATAAATCATCGCGATAATGTACATAGTAGAGTTGTTTAGGATGTTGAACATGACCCAGTTTTTATTTTGTGTTTCCTTTGAAGTACTCAAAGGGCTAGCTCTGAATGTCACCTCTCTGATCTCCAGTTTTGACTTCAACAAGCTGTACAATCATCTTGTTTTCTCTTCAGCAAGCATAAAGGTCTCTCTGGCTACAAATCAGTGTCCACACACGCTTGCAGAGAAAGGTCTGCATGCTGCAGTGCCTCACTGCTCCAGTGAAGCTTGTGTTCACCTTCTCCTGGCAGTAGCCACCTACTGCAGCTGCCTTTTTTTCCTTGCTGCCCATTATGCAGGGCTTCAATTTTTCATACATTTAAAAAGAAAAAAAAAAGAAAAAGAAAAGAAAAAAAAAAGGAAAAAAAAGTGTATTTTCTTTGCCCACCATGCTTTAAAAATCTGAATGGGAGACAACTCTCAGCAGACAGCAACTCTTGGCTGCAAGGTTGCCGAAATCTCAGATGTGGATGTTTTTTCTGCCATTGGCTGCACCAGTGCTCCGTGGGCATGGGCAAATCCTGGCTCCATCTGCCCCACAGGTCTACGTACTGTAGTTCTCATGTAGTTCAGAAATACCAAGGCATGTGGCTTTCTTAAGGTACACTATGTGTGCTTGCCTGGATTACAATACAATACGAGACTGTCTTTTTAATTGCTTATTACTAGCTTACCAATAACCTGTATAAGTAATGTAACTTGCATCTTTGTCATCAGAACCTTTTCTCCCCACCCCTTTATTTATCAAGCATAATATTACATATTAAGGGACAGAAAAATAGACCTTTGTAGTACACAGCAGGACGTTGCTAACAATGTTTTAAATGGGAAGTAAAAAAAAGCTCTGAAAAATGCCAGCCATGAGAAATAACTTTGTTGGCACCGTGTTCATGCGCATGTATTTTTTTTTCTATTTTTTCCGCTTTTGTCATGTTACATCCATATCTGTATTTATATCTTATTTGTTTCACTTTTGAGTGTATCATGGCAATTGTACAGATGTTTTTTGTTAACATTTATGTGATAGAATTTGCTAAAAAAAAAATTAAAATAAAACCTTTTGAGTTTGCCCTAGAATAAGTGAAAGTTGGATTTCTTCTTGGGGGAGAAACACCACAGTAATTCACTGTCCAACACAGCTCCTTACTCCAACCTGTGCTTGTAAATTATTTGGTCTTACTTGACACTATTGTGTTTGAAAGCTGATGGTTCCAGTTCTATTTAATGTCTTTATCAGTGATCTGGATGAAGGAATCAAATGCACCCTCAGTCAGTTTACAGACAATGCCAAGTTGGGCAGGAGTGTTGCTGCTGGATGGCAGGAAGGCTCTACACATGGATCTGGACAGGCTGGATTGATGGTCTGAGGACAACTGTAGGAGATTCAATAAGGTGAAGTGTCAAATCCTGCCCTGGGATCACAAAACCCCAGGCAGTGCCACAGAGTGGCTGGAAAGGTGCCCAGCAGAAAAGAACCCAGAGGTGCTGTTTGACAGTGACTGAACATGAGCCAGCTGTGCCCAGGTGGTCAAGGAGGCAGTGGCTCCTGGCCTGTACCAGCAATAGCGTGGCCAGCAGGAACAGGGCAGTGATTGCCCCTCTGTGCTGGGCACTGGTGAGGCTGCACCTCAAATGCTGTGGTTTGGGCCCCTCCCTACAGGAAGGACATTGAGGTGCTGGAGCATGTCCAGAGAAGGGAAGTTGAGCTGTGGAAGGGTTTGGAGCATAAATACTACAAGTAGTGGCTGAGGAAGCTGGGGTGCTTACTTTGGAGAAGAAGGCTCAGGGGACGCCTTATAGCTCTCTACAACCAGCTGAAAGAGGCTGGAGTGAGGTGCTCTCCTCCCAAAGAACAAATTATAGGAAAAGGGCCTCAGGTTTCACCAGGGGAGGTTTAGATTAGATATTAGGAAAAAAATTAATGGAAAGGGTTGTCAGGCATTGTAACAGGCTGTCCAGGGAAGTGGCTGAGTCACCATCTGTGTAGGTATTTAAAAGATGTAGATATGTCACATAGGAACATGGTTTCATCGTGGACTTGTCAGTGCTGGTTTAACAGCTGGGCTTGGTGACATTTAGGGGTCTTTTCCAACCTAAATAATTCTATGGATTTTCATGTGTTCTTTGGGATGAGAGAGCAGTGCATTGACAGAAGAGAGTTTGTTTATTGAGTGCCAGCCCATGAACCAGGAGCCAAGGACTCCTGCACAGCTCAGGGACAGAGGGAGTGGGTGCTCACCCCTTGGGGCACGCAGGATGCACAGGATGATGCTCATGGGTGTAACCCATGGAGGGACTGGGGCCACAGGGCTGCACAGAGGCAGAGCTGGGCACAAGGGAAAGGCAGGAGCTTGTTTGGGAGGGGAGGAGAGCGGGAGGAGGGGATGGTGAAGGCAGTGTAAACCAGACCGAGCTAACGCGGGGCTGGCGGGATTACAGGGTGCCAGGGAAGCTGCTCACAAACACATCGGGGACAAAGCAGCCCTCCAGAGCTGAGGGGTAATGAGTAATTAATGAAGAGAAGGATGAAATTCATAATGACTCAAAAATGTCCGAGATAATGAAGTCCTTTTCTTTAAATCCACCTTTAACAAGAAAGCTAAGGGAAAGGATTTAGATCAATTAAGAAGTAAAGAAAGGCAATCTTGTAAAAATAGCTATTGACACAAGCAAGCGGGGGAACAGCTGGAAAGTCTTGCCATGGCAATGAATGAAACAACTGTGTATGGCATAAAGACACCCAAAAGTGACAGCAGGTAGAGTAACAGCCAAGAGGGAGCTTCAGAATACATTTAACAAATCACTGCAAGTGTGGCAGGGGGCTGGTGAAGTGTCTGAGCTCTGGGGAGACGATGGTGAGGAGCAGCAAGGAGCAGGGGTCACAGTGCACTCCTGTGGGATGCAGCAGCCCTGTGTGAGCATCAGCAACCACTCCTGGGCAAGGGATATGCAGTGGCCCTCAAAGGGAAGGCCCCCATTATCTTCAAACTTACCAAAGCCTGTGGGAGACAAAAGAGGCTGGAAACACTGGAACTGTCCCTAAAACATTTACATTACCTCTCTCTTAGACGAATTATTTTTGTCTCTCTCTGTCTGCCATGCAGCAGGATACTTGGGATATTCTTTTCCTTGTCCTGGTGATGCAACTTTTTAACAACCATAACCCCACCTCTCTCCTCACTGCCTTGCTGAGGAATAACCCCTGTAAGCTCCATTGTGCCTGGACCTGTCTCTGCCCCCTCTCTGCACCCCCCAGGTGCTCTGGTGCAGGGTTCTGCTTCCCCTTGTGCCAAAATGCTTTCTCATGGCACAGGCTGGGCGGGCTCAGCATCTCTGGGTGGGTTGGTGCTCGGGACCCTGTCACAGGGGCAGTTTCTTGACTGCCGGTCTATAAATAGGAGCTGGGTTTCTAATCTGCTTGCCACTTGTTTCCACTCCCTACCAGTTTTTTCCTGCTTTTTCCTGCAAGGAGGTACCTGCAACTGCTAGTTTGCAGCCCTGCAGACACTGCTGGGAGAGGAAGAGAAGCAGCTGAGTTCTGCCCAACCAGACTCATGTGTCAGTCCTACTCCAACCCATGAAAAGAAAAGAAAAGAAAAGAAAAGAAAAGAAAAGAAAAGAAAAGAAAAGAAAAGAAAAGAAAAGAAAAGAAAAGAAAAGAGAAAACGAAGCCCTGCCCTGGGAGGGACTCCAGGATCCTG